TTACAGTAAAATTTAAAACTGTCAAAATCACCCCAAAACAGCATTAAATGACATGAAAATGTCCATGTTACAACTCAGCAATGGCAGCCCAGCCAAGCAAAGGATGGCCCTCCTCTTTACTCCTTCTACTACTATGACTACTGGGGGGCTTGGGTTGGGGGGCTTTCCTTTCTTTCTCTCTCTTTCTCTCTCTCTCTCTCTGTCTCTCTTTCTTTCTTTCGTATGTCACAGTTCTCCCAAGAATGGACCCAAGAAAGATCGCATTTTTTAAAAAAATTCCATAAAATTTAAAACTGTCAAGATCATCTAAAACACGGTACAAAATGACATTCAAAATATACAAAAGTTAAAAGGCATAACTAAAACTTTTCTTTGGGGCTCAAGGCACGCAAGTTTTTGTGTTATTTTTTAGCATGTCTGGAAGGGAGAGTTTCAGGCTGTCTTTCAGGGGGCATCGCTGCAAAGGAGGACTTGTGGTTGTGATTGGGTGCCTATAAGTCTTAGGGCAGCCCTATCATGGGATTTTCTTGCAAAGGTTTGTTCAGAGGGGGTTTGCCATGGCTTTTCTCTGAGGCTGAGAGAGTGTGACTTGCCCCAGGTCACCCAGTGGGTTTCATGGCCAAGCTGGAAGTAGAACCCTGGTCTCCAGAGTTGTAGTCCAACACTCAAACCACTACACACCACTGGCTCTAATGGCAAAAGGGCCTTTTAAATCTTCTTAAGAATAAGTTTTCCATTACCTTCTTCTGAGGCTGAGAGAGTGTGTCTTCCCCAAGGTCACCCAGTGGGCTTCCATGGGATCCAAACCCTGGTCTCCAGAGTCCTAGTCCAACACTTAAACCTCTACACACCACACTGGCTCTCAAGTTTTTGTGTCTCCAAGTCATTTACGACTTACGAGGACCCTAAGGCAACCCTATCGTGGGGTTTTCTTATCAAGTTTCTTCAGTTGTTGTTGCCTTCCTTTGAGGCTGAGAGAGTGTGACTTGCCCACGGTCAGCCAGTGAGTTTCATGATCAAGCCAGAATTCGAACCCTGGTGTCCAGAGTCGTCATCCAGTGTTCAAACTACTACACCACGCTGGCACCTGGAAAGGAGGACAAGCCACTGCAAAATGTAGGACATTCAAGAAACAGGTAGAACACTTCACAATAAACACTAAAGACACTAATATAAATATAAGTTCATTCTTCTTAGTCATACTTAAAATGAAGGGTGTTTTGGAATTCCTCCTGGACAGAAGGCAGGAATGTAGGACAGGTTCAGGAAAAGGAGGACCTCTGATTACCATGGACTTTCACTTCCTTTCTGCAAAGTCCTTCCATTCTAGGATAAGTCTGTTCAAGAAAGGGCTCAGCCCTCTAGATGCAACAGTCACCCTCTCTTGAGATGCTTTTTATTTTGCTTAGGGATCAGTGCCCCTAAATTCTAGGCTATCGAAACTAGACATGGTAGTGGACTAATCCAGGCATTTGTTGTTTGTTGTTCTTAATTGTCCTTGAGTCGATCTCAACTCACAGGGACCCTATGGATGAGACATCTCCAAGACCCCCTGTCCTCCACTCTTCTGCTTAAATCCTGCAACCCCTTCATACCCATGACCTCCTTAATAGAGTCCATCCATCTTGCATGTGTCCTTCCTCTCTTCTTGCTTCCCTCCACCTTTCCCAGCCTTATTGTTTTTTCCAATGATTCCTCTTTTCTCATGATGCGTCCGAAGTACGACAGCCTCAGTTTGGTCATCTTGGCTTCCAGAGAGTTTTCTGGCTTGATCTGCTCTAGGACCCATTTGTTTGTCCTTTTGGCTGTCCATGGGATCCTCAGCACTCTTCTCCAGCACCACATTATCTCAAATGCATTGATTTTCCTCCTATCTTCTTTAAATGCATTGATTTTCCTCCTATCTTCTTTCTTGTCCAGCTCTCACATCCATACAGGGTAATAGGGAATACAATGGCTTATATGATTCTAATTTTTGTGCTGAGTTGTATATCTTTGCATTTTAGGATCTTTTCTAATTCGTTCATAGCCACCCTCCCCATTCTTGGTCTTCTTCTGATTTCCTGACTG